GCGGCTTTCGACAGGTTCTTAACGGGATCTTCCTCCTCGCACCCCCTTCTTTTTCTTTTCTCTGTCCCCCAAAACGCGCGGCCCCTTCGGAGGCGGGGGCGGCCTGGGAAGCGGCCCCTGGCCAGGGGACACAGCGGTGCGCGGCCACCCGGGCACGGGGAGCGGGGGCCCAGCTGTCTCTAACGATTCCTGCGATCACTGAGCTCCAAAACCGGCGGGACAAAGGCCTCGGATCTCGTTTGGGGCCCGCAGCCGGGTGGCACCGAATCGGTACCGCAGCGGCACCGCCCGGCCCCAGCGGGGCACCGGCACCGGGGGATGCTCCGTGCACAGCTCCCGGTCCCACCAGCCAACACTGAGCTTCTCCTTCCTTTAAACAGAATAGCCGTATTTTCGGTTCGTTTCCAAGAGTTTATGTTCGTTTGGAAGTTGAAAGCCTTCCGATTTTTAATTTATTTTCAATTTTTCCGAGGTGAGCGGCCAACACAGCCGACAACGGGAAATCCCGGTCCTGTGCTGTGACACAGACGGGTGGAGAGTGGCAGGGGGAGCGATGGCATTCGGGGGCGGTGTGTGGGAAAGCACGTCCCCTCTGCGGCGGGAGAGCCTTTAAATCGTTGTTAAAAAAAAAAATAAAAATATATATATTTATGTTCTTTGAAAGGTGGGGGGAGGGAGGAATTTCTGTTTCCTTCGCTGTTTTGGAAGGGAAAAAAAAAAAAACCCAAAACATTATTTTACTACAGATGGGAGGAAAAGGCACCACTAAATTATTTCCTAGTATCGCTGTTGAGGGAGCAGGGAGGGAGCGCCCAAGCTGCGGTTGCAGGTGGGATGCGGTACAGAACAGAGATGGAGGGAGGGAAAAACCCAATTCCTGGGGAAAAAACCTTAAATAACCTCCTCAAATACCTTTTTATTATTTTCCCCAGCCACCATGTAAAAACAAAATAGGTTCATAGAGGCTGAAGGGTGCAAAAAAAATCAGAAAAAAATCCCTAAAATATCCCCCCTGAGGCCGCTGCTCCCGGCGCGGGGATGAGCGAGATGTTTCTACAGGCGGCCCCCCGAAAATGGGGTTTTTGATGGCAGCGGAGGAGGAGGGCGAGTCAGCGTGGCGCATCCTTGCCTTGCGTGGGAATTATTACAAGTCAGTGCACAGATAGGTCGAGAAAGCCGAGCGGGGCACGGCTTCGCCCCGGGTTTAGCAGCGTTTTGAAGGGTTGGGATTTAAGGGGTGAAACTGCAAAGCTGGGGCTGTCACCGCTGCCCTCGGCTGCCTCTTCACAGCCCGGGAAAACCAGAGCTATGGACACCGAGAGGGATTAACCCAACCATTTCTTTTTCTTTTTATTATTTATTTTATTTATTATTTATTTTTTATTTATTTATTATTTCTTTTTCTTTCTTTTTATTATTTTTTTTATTCGTCTTAAGACAAGCTCGTTATGAAGGAAGACGTGAAGGAGCTCTGTTTCTGGAGGCTGCAGGAGGCATCAGGGAAGAAAGAACGAAAATGCATCCAAACCTCTGTCTGGTGCGTGATTATTTCCTCAAATAGCCCTGACGCACCCCTGTCCCTGCTCCTGCACCCCCGAACGGGCTGGGAGACCCGAAATGGTCCCAGGGCATCTCACGGCACCCCGGCCAGCAGCCCTCGATGCCAGGGAGTGCAGGGGGCTCCACAGGAGCCACCCAGCTGACCTTTAAGGTCCCTTCCAGCCCAAATCTTTCCATGATCACGCCAAGGGTGGAGGAAATGGGTTTTTGTCTCTTCGTTGAGCATCCAGAATGTCATGGACGTGTGGTGCTCGGGAGGCATCTCTTAGAGGAAAAAAAATCCTAACCAAAATAGGCAATAATATTTAAAAAAACCCCCCATAAACAACAAACAAAAACGGAACAAAAAACCAGACCGACAGAAAATCAACCAACCAAGAAAAAACAAATAACAGAGAAAAAAACCCATACCAAACCAAAATCAAACTAAACCAAACCAAACCAAAAATAAACCAAAACCAGAACAAAAACAAAAAAACACAACACAAAACAAAACAAAACAAAACAAAAAAATCCCAAGCAAAATTCCCCCAAAACAACCAATAAAGCAAAAACTCCAACCAAGACAAGAAAAAAAAAAAAAAAAAAGGAAAAAAAGGAAAAAAAGGAAAAAAAGAAAAAAAGCAAGCCACAGGGAGCTTGAAAATAAGTCCAGGATAAGTCCAGGTGCCGGGAGAATGTCCCGGGGCACTGCTGCCCTGCGAGGGCCGTTCCTCCGGCCGGGGATGTCCCCTGGGCTCGGGGGTCTCTTTTCCCTGTGCCCCCTCCTTGCTCGGGGACCCCTGGAGCTGAGAGCCCGCAGAGCCGGGGCTGCCGAGCCTCGTGGGACTCCGAGGTCAGCGAGAAGCTGTGGGGGATGCCGAGGATGCCGAGGAGGTCAGGGTGCGGGGGCTCCGAGGGATGCAGGAACAGGGATGCAGGAGCAGGGATGCCGGAGCAGGGATGCAGGAGCAGGGATGCCGGAGCAGGGATGCTGGAGCAGGGATGCAGGAGCAGGGATGCCGGAGCAGGGATGCAGGAGCAGGGATGCCGGAGCAGGGATGCAGGAGCAGGGATGCCGCGGTGTCCCCCCGGTTTAAGCACG